TTCCTGGGCTATACTCGGGATCAGGAGCCCTTCCTGGGCTATACTCGGGATCAGGAGCCCTTCCTGGGCTATACTCGGGATCAGGAGCCCTCCGTGGGCTTAACTGGGGATCAGGGTAGCGCTTACGTGCTTACCACATTAACATCCGGCGGGCTTGCCTGAGGAACGGCCGGCTTACTTGACTCGGGAAAGGCCGGCAGACTTGGGGGAGCCGTGGACGGCGGCGGGCTTGAGTGAGCCGCGGATGGCGGCGGACTGGTTCTGACTCGGGACCGGACACTCCGCGGACTGGTTCTGGCTCAGGACCGGACACTCCCCAGACACCGGAAGACACCTTCCCTCCAACTTAGTCCAGTGGTGTCTGGGAGGTCCACGGGGCGATGGTAGTTGGCCCCGAGCCAGGACAGCTGATTAAGGACAGCGTCTTCTAACGCCGTCACCGCGGCGAGCTTGTAGAACTCCCTGGCGTACTCGTAGAAGGGGAGATCTTGGCGGGATATGGCGAGGAAACGAGCAGCGATCTCCATGCCGCGGGAGGGGAAACCAGGAAACAAAAAACTTGCAACAAACGGGAAAAAATAAAAACGAGAAGGGGCGCTGCTTACTTTTGTTTTTGGTCGGTTATTCTGTCACTGTCCGGATGTGTGGAGGCAGGCAGGACGACGAGGACGACAAGGATTCCAATAATGACTTTTAATGTAGACAAATATGGGGTGGATAATTAGTGGCAGACAGGTGAGCACAATGAGGGTAATTAACTAATGATTAGTACGGGCTAAACCAACACAAGGGGAAGAAACCACAATAAACTGTCCACAGGGGCGTTACACGTATATTCTATTCATAAAGTTTATTTTTACATATTTAATGTTCATTTCTACATGCGTAATGTGTTTTTTTTTTTATAGCCTGGTTTCATTTGTTGCCATTAAAACACTGTTTTTGACTACCACAAAGCAAAACTGAAAGGTTGCTTTTTGAAAGAAAAAAAAGATGATTCATACAATTTATTGGTTTATTTATGTACTTTATTATATTTTTAACAGCATTGCTATGTTGATCTACTAGCTATTGACCAGCATTGACCATCATAATCCAGCCTGAGCCAGCATGGGACTTCACGCTGATTATTTCAGCATGGTAAAATGAGCTGAATTATGTCTGTAAATACAAATAAAATGGACAAATGCAAGCGCAGTACAGTAGCTACAGAGCACAACTGCAAACCTTGCCTTTAATCTGCTTTCATACTCTGCTTGTGTATCATTGCATGTGTACTTTTTGTTTTCTTAAGGGACTGTGTGCTTCAAGAAGAATCTGTTAGAGGAGAGAAATAAAACAAGCTGTCACAACAAACAAGAAACATAGTACAGTTAATTTCAATTGAAGAGTTCCCAAGGCCTGTAACAAAGTAAAACTCGATAAGATGTGGGAAGTCGAACGCACACGGCGGCATGTGTTGCGAGGCCGTGTTGAGATTTATCTCCCCTGCTGTAAATAATTGCGTGTTTGGAATTATACCGGAGGAGACGTGGTGTGTTTGATGCACTGTCAGATTGCGTTTCGTGGTTGGAAATGGATTATAAAGCAGCACTTAATCAATTTCCAGTGCAAGTTGTGCGCCGACGTCCTTGTAAAGGTTCCCTGTCCGTAAGTTGATGTAATTATGACTTAATCTGTGAAATTTTCCATATATCACCACACCCCAAAACATTTCGCCGTACAGGTTTTTCAAGAGTTGTATCTCACGGAAATAAAGTGTGTTTATGACCCGAGAATGGTATGGTAATGTGCCATAAAAATAGACGAAAGTATGCGCCGCTACTCTAGGCGATGATCGGATAATTTATGAAAGCCGGGGATCATCAGAGGTGGACATGGTGAATCGCATTGTCCTTCCCTGCGGAGCATCTGTCATGATGAACGGGGGATGACATCAAACTTGTGCTAATCTCTCACCTTGTTGAAAGTCATACGCTCAGGCTCCTCTTCGTTTTCAGTCTGGAAAGTGGAAGATTTCTGCTCGTGTTTCATGAGTGAGACCCAAACTTGGGTTGGGCGCTCATACGATGCAAACATTGAGCCTTGGTGCTCATATGGGAAATTTAGGTTCGAATCTGGCTGTAAAACGTGTTTTCTTTTCGTTCTCCCTCTACAGCAGAAGATGATCCCTGCCAGACCAACCCGTGCCTGCATGGTGGGAGCTGTTTGACCGAGGGGGAGGGATACAGTTGCCTGTGCCCTCAGGGCTATTCGGGAGAGAGCTGCGAGATCGGTAAGTGGATTAAGAGAGAGGTCGGGGTCGGGACAAAAGAGGTCAAGGACGTTTGAAGGAGCCCACTGCAGCTTTAGAAGTGCACTTGATTTATGCACACAGCTAAAATTGGATATAAAACCAATGCAAGCATCTCTTTTGAGGGTTATGCCTTTGACCCTTGATGTAAAACCAATGAATACGATTATCAGCAAGACGAAGACCTACAATGTCCGCCAAAATTTTATTTACCAGCATCTTGATCAGATGTCATCGTTTTGGTCGGAGGTTATAAAGGAACTGTAGGTTAGGGAAATTGTAATAAAAATAGCAGTGCCTAGGTAAATAAACATATTATACTAAAAAATAACACATTTTGAAAAATATATTATTATTATTATTATTATTATTATTATTATTGTTGATGTTGTCGTTATTATTATTATTATTAGTTATACATTTATTTTACCGTTTGTCACTTTTTGCAGGTTTTATTTATTTTTTTATTTTTTTAAATATTAATTTTAGTAGTAGTAGTAATAGTAGTAGTTGTTGTTGTTGTTGATGTTGCTGTTAGTAATAAAATAAATAATATATATTATTAGTGAATTAATTTTTGTTATCAGAAATAACAATAATAATAATAATTATTATTATTATTATTAATTTATTTGAACTTTTGTAAATTTTACAGTTTTTATATCCATTGTTTTATTTTAATAGGAATTTTATTATTATAATTAGTAGTAGTAACAGTAGTAGTAGTAGTGTTGTTGTTTATGTTGCTGTTAGTAATAAAATTAATAATATATATTATTAGTGAATT